TTTAGACGCTCATTCAGCCTCACAATCTGCCCTGTATCGCCTACCCTCATAGAGAAACGACACTGATCTGATAGCTAAGAGAACTTTCAGAAAACATCCATCAAGCAACCAAAAATGCAGTACGGTGACTCCCAAAATATCTGAATGTGGTTCCATTAGAGCCAACAAATATCAAACTGTGTCACTTGTGCTTATATGCCACTAGAGGGTGTTTTAGAACGAGCTTCACTTTGGAGACATGTTGGTGATGTAGTTTCACTTCTATACAAAGATGTGTGTGCACATTTTCACACCTAGAGCAATAGCTATAACATTGTGACTGTTGTCGTGTCGATGTACAGCAGCACAAGTCTGTCCACACTGAACAAGTCAAAGTAGAAGCTCCAAATCCATTTGTCCTGTTGTCGGAATACAACCAGGCATCGTTTTACCGTTTGTGTTCTGTTTTTATATGAGTTTTCTAAGGTAAAATGTGCTTGTTTTTTTTACAGTAACCACAATGCATACAGTGATTAGCGCGGCAAGAAAAACACAGTTTTTATGATCTTAACTTTTTTCATACTTTTTTAAAATATGAATTACATTGTACACTCGTAAAACAGCCATTGTGAACCTGGGGTGGCAAGACTCTTGGATCATTTTCCATTTTTGGTGATTTATGTGGAATTTATGCTCAGCTAACTCTTATTTGATGAAAATACTTTTCAACACATGCGTTTTAAACCAGTCTGATCTGTAACTGAATGCACAAAACGCAAATACACATTCACCAAACCAAAACATGTTCATTAGATTGATAGAATGAGCTTAATTGTGTATGAATGTAACCCCTGGTTTCACAGACAAGGCTTAAGCCTAGTCCTAGACTAAAATGCACGTCTAAGCTGTTTTAAATTAAAGAAACTTCCACTGATGTTCTATCTCAAGATGCACATCAGTAGTGTTTTTATCTAAGTCACGTTTATAAAAGCAAAATGTCTTAATTGAACTCTGGCCTAATACTGGCTTGATCTAAGCCCTGTCTGTTAAACCAGGCCTAAGTGTAAGTTTAACTGAGTCAAACTCACTTAATGCATAGCATAGCCTTTGACCCCAAATTAATACAAATACACATACATTTTATTTTCACAGTTTTGTTCATTTATTTTTAATACTATTTATATAGTATTGTAGTAGTATTTTGAATGAGCATTTATTGTTATATTTTGAGTTTTCATTTTAATTGTAGCTTAAGCTTGTGCTTTTGCCCATTTATTTGTTTTCGATTTTTATATTTCTACCCAGTTTTAATTTATATTGATTTCAGCTTTATTTTTTAGCCATTTTAGTGCGTCAACTTATTTTATTTCAGCTAGTTGCCAATGCAGCATTTCTAGTTTTTCATTGTCTTATTCATCATACATTGCACTTTATTTCAGATTTATTTCAATTAACAAATAATTAACCAATTAAAAAAAAAACTAATAAATTAACAAACACATTGCAACTCCATAATGTTATCTTTCAGTTACTAATTTATATGCATTCTATGATTAAAATATAGATCACTGTCAGAAGAGTCTGCCATGTAATTTAACTGTACAGCACCCTCTATTGGACAAATACATAACACAATCACTTACCATCAAACATACACTCCGCAGCTGCTTGTATGTGCTGGTGGTGTAGCAGAGTGAGGAATATTACATTGACACACATTGGGCTCTTTATTTACACATTAGAGCCATATCTAATAAATCCGGCCATAAAGACTTGGAGTGGCTGTCATTGTTTCACTATAGAGTGTAGAGTAACTGCGTGTAAACTAATGATAATGGCTAGAAGATGCAATGTGAGGAAAAATGACACTCCCTCTTTCAAGTTTCACTTCCTCATGAACAAAGTTCAGTTCAGCCTACATGAAAAACAGAAACATGAACGTGTTCACTTCTAGAAATCCAACAAAGCTAAAGTTTTCATAGCATCATATTCAGTTTTAGCTGATTATTATTGGATTTTTTTATATGCACAGGTGGGTCAGTATTTTCTTTACATTTTCAGTGTGTTGTGCTTGTAGGTGATATTTAATACCACATGACTTGAGCGAGGTCAGATTTGCATGCGTTATACATTCTGTTATCTGCAAAACATCAAATTCTTCTTGCCACATTTGTGAGTCATTTCTTTTAGAGGTTTAATTATAGTTGTACTCCCTGGGGAAGTGTGCCCCTTTACCTTTCACTGAATGGGATACGAGTGATGTTGTAACGATTTGTAATGATTTTTATAAAGTTTTTTTTCCATTAGAAAGAGCTGTTGTAGAAGCTGTTTTGTGTGCTAGTACTGAAGGAGAAATACAATTTTTACAGGAAACGTTCAGTTCCATAATCACCAGTTTTCTTTTCTTTTTTAGCTTGTCAAGATGCTAAGATGAGTCAGTGGCGTAATTTGAGCCACTCCCTCTATCTACAGATATATGCATAAGTTTAGTTATGTACAGTAATTGTATAATCATTACAGGTATGTTAAGGGCTGACTGTGATTGAGGGAGCCATAAAGTAATAAATATTAAAGGGGTGATATGATGCGATTTCAAGTTTTCCTTTCTCTTTGGAGTGTTACAAGCTGATTGTGCATAGATAAGATCCCTGAAGTTGCAAAGAATAAAGTCACAAACCCAAAGAGATATTCTTTATCAAAGCTTTATCAAAAACTAAAACGGCTCGTTCTAACACGCCCCCACATATCTACCTCACTATGTGGGAATATTTGCATAATGCGCCCAAATGTGCATGCAAAGAAAGAAGGCGTGGTTTCAGTAACCGCAGTTAGTGTTGAAGCAGCATGTCAGGGAGACGCTGTGTGTTTCTAGGCGAAAGCAAAAGCACTTTATTTGGCCTTCCGAAAGTAGATGCATTTAGGAATCTTTAAGATTACTTACAACAGAACAGCAATGCATTTTATGGACGACTGTTTCGTGAACCTAGGAGAGGAGGTAATTCTGACTTTGCTATGCCAATCTGGTGCTTCTGAATCAGCTACTGTTTTGTTATTAGTTTAAGTATTTGCTATTGACTGTTCAAATGCAGAGTTTTGCGCATCGTGTGTGTGTGTGTGTGTGTGTGTGTGAGAGAGAGAGAGCGAGAGAGAGAGAGAGAGAGAGACAGCGTCACATCACAGTAGAGTCAGTCTTAAAAACCGTGGCCTGTGTACTGCACACATACCAGCTTCATCACTGTGTCCGTCACGAGACTCTGTTCCCCTTTCGGGCTCTGTCTTTACATTTATTTTGAAAGATGAAGCTCACGATTATGGTAAGGGGCGTTGCATTTCCGACTAGTGCTTGCATTGTTCGGCCAATCACAATGCACTGGGTCAGCTGGCAGCGTTTGTTGGAAGGAGGGACTTTGTTGAAAACGACGTGTTTGAGAGAGGCGGGGCATAGAGGACCTACAATAATGTACAGTATTTGAAAAAGAATGTGTTTTTTGAACATTAAAGCATGTCAACATATTCTGTTACACCAAATACACAAAATAATGATCTTTAAAAAAGCATCATATGACCCCTTTAAAGTAAATTTACTAGATGACAAGTATAATGTGATTGTCAATAATATCTAAACAGAATAATTAAATTAACTTTGCAAATAAATGCAAGAAATGCCATTACATTGGCTTAAATGAGTATCTTCAGAGGCATATTTTGTAGAATCCATGGTTTAGTGCATTTTCGGGACGATTCATAATGAATTTTTCATCATCCCAAAAATGTATTGAGGTCAGAAACTGATCTTTTTGTGTTTTTTGTACAGCTGCCTTGTACCAAAATATTATCTGAAATGTTGACTCTAGGTGAATTATGGTAAAACTCATTTACAGAAAGCTAAATTAGAGTGCATTGTTATGGAGGAAGAACTAGAAGCACACGACACCAAGGCAGTGGATGCCAAAGAAGAGGTTTCTTCAGCTCCTGAGCATTCGTCTCCACAGCAGGAGATATCATCCAGTAATGGTCAGTTTAAGTCAATCCTTAAGTTGTAACTGACATTATGAGAGCAGAATCTGATGGCATTAGTGCTCATTTCATGTATTCTCCCAGCTGAAGAGGCTGATGTGGGTTTTAGCGCCTCCTGTCTGACCACAGCAGAACTGCAGCAGCACTGGAGAGCCGTTAAGCAGGAGTTCAGAAGCATTAAACTGCTGTTTGACATCCCCACCGCGCGAATCATCGACCAACAAATCACTAAATATGTGGTATGTCAAAGCTTATAGTGAAGATATAAACATTAAGTCGAACTCTACTTTCTATTTTGACCCAACTAATTCATTTTCCCATTATTCCATAATCTTTCACCAAAATATAATAACTTGCTCTGCCTCTGAAAATAATTTCCCTTTTGTATGACGTCACCAAGCCCTCTTATTTTTTAACCGTTCCCCTTTTCACTTTACAATTAAAGAATGTAACACTGAAGTATACTTGTTTGTATAAAGGATGGTCACCACCCAGAAAACACAGAGCGTTCTGCTAATGTTAATATATGGTTCTTGTTTTCTTTTTATAAACATATAAAATAACATTCTAAGAACATTCTCCAAACCTAAAGGGGAGGTTCAATTTCCATTACTGAAAAAAAGACCATTAGGGCAGTGTTGTAGTTGAGACCAGAGACCAGAGAGAGCCTTTGGGTGTGTTTACACTTGTCATGTTTGGTTAGATTAAAACGAACCCTGGTGCGATTGCTCTGTTAGTGTGGTTCGTTTGAGTAAGTGTGAACGCTGCCATCTGAACCCTGGTGCGCACCAAACAAGCGGACCGAGACCGCTGAAAAGATGGGTCTCGGTCCGCTTCCAAACGAACTCTGGTGCGGTTTGAATGATATATGAACGCAACACGGACCAAATACTTCTAAACTAACCAAAAACAGGAAGTGATGACAAGATGTGACGCTATGCGACATGATTTGACGACGCGGTGTAACCAAAACAAAATGAGCAGAGGACAATCGTGGAGCAACAATGAGGTAAAGTGCCTTTTATGAGCTCCTTGTGAGTTTGCAGGTGGTGAAAATAAAATGTACATGCAAGAATGAGCGCGCTTAGTCCAGGAGACGGCATTAGGTGTGTTCGACTTAAAGTGGAGCTGAGCGGACAGATCAGATAATGGGTGTTTTGATATCATACATCCGCAAGCGCCACTGTAAGTCTAACGCAACTTTTCTTTGGGGTGTTCGGTGAGTTCCGTCACGATATATACGTCATTAAAGCCGACCAATCAGGTTGTGAATGTATCATTATGCCTTTAGATTCGCTGTCTTTAGGTTCGCTGTCAAAAATGCCAATGTGAACACTAAGCGGACTAGGACCAAATGTATCATTTTCCTTTTTGGTCCGGACCAAATGGACCAAATGAACCGAAATACAAGTGTGAACACACCCTTTATGTTAAGATTGTGTCTTAAGAACTAGTCTACTAGCAGTAAGCCAAGGGGTAATCAGTCTTAGTTTTTGGTTTCAATCTACGTTTTTATATAACTGACTTACAGAAAAGAAAAAAAAAATAGATGACTAACTTGTAAGACTAGTCTAAGTGTTTTATGCAACCAACCCCATTTCTTTCGAGTCTGAGTGCAGGCCGAGACCTGAGTAGGTTGAGTCTTAGTCAAGACTCAAACCAGAAGAGAATCTAAACGAATGTAAATATGCTGTATTGGGGGTGAACGGAGCCTGGTTTTGCTTCAATGTCACATGAATCTCTGTAGCTCTTGTCCAGAACTGCACAGACCACAAAACATATTCACAGTTGTAGTTCCTTAAGAACAGACTCTGCCTTGACTTGTTTCGAGTCAAAGGCAAAGTCCAAATGCTCCACAACAAGACCAAAACCATGAAAATCTTGGTCCTGGACTCAGAATCGAGTCCAATTTCGAGTATCACAACATTGCTTTAGAACAGGGCTACCCAATCCCGTTCCTGCAGATCGACCTACCTGCAGAGTTCAGTTCCAACCCTGATCCAACAAACCTGTCTGTAATTATCAGGTGCTGCAGTTCTTAATTAGCTCAGGTGTGTTTGATCAGGATTGGAGCTGAACTTTGCAGGAGGCAGATCTCCAGGAACAGGACTGGGTGGGTACCCCTGCTTTAGGATGTCAATTCTGGCAATCTTTTGGGAATCAAAAACTGTTAGCTGTGTATGTCTTTCCCAGACATGACACATCCTGCAATGCTTCTTGTCTCCTTCACATTAGTCTTCACAGCTCATTTCTGTCCTTCAGGTATACCAGATTGTGGTGATCCGCTCAGGTAGTTACGACTGTGAGCATGTAGCTATCGAGCGACGCTACTCAGACTTCCTCCACCTTCATCAGGAGCTCCTGCTGGACTTCAGCGAGGAAATGGAGGACATTGTGATGCCCAGGAAGAAAATGAGGGGCAACTTCTCAGAGGAGAACATCGGCGAGCGGCGCGTAGCCCTCAGAGACTATCTTACTCAGCTCTACTCCCTCCGTTTTGTCCGAAAATCACAAGCGTTCCTAGCGTTCTTCACTCATAAGGAATTAAAGGCTGCATATGACCTCCTGCGTGGGGGCCGCTTTTCCTGGGCCCTTGAGGGCCTCCAGAAGGTGTTGGTACTTCAGGAAAAACTGTCTTCTCACAACCCTACTTTGGTGGTACCAACCCTGTGTGCCATGCTGGTGTGCCAGAGGGATCTAGAAGACTTTGACACAGCATTTCAAACTGGTAGAATAGCTTTGCCCACAGTGAGATGCTACGAGCTCCGGCAGTATAAAGGGCCCCTGCTGGAGGCTCTTGTTGATTTGGGTTACAGTCTTGGGCTGCCTGTGGCGCAGTTACAGGATGAGCTGACCAGAATGCAAGACTCGCCAAATGGGCAGGTGTCAGAGATGTCCCTTAAAGAACTGGTGGTGCAAGAGTTTGTATAATCAGAAACAACTGCTATTTAGTTGTTAACTATAATCATTATTTGATCAAACCCCTAATCCAAAATATCAAACTACAATTGTTCTATGTGATCGGACTAATGATCACCTGAAAGGAAATTCAAACAAATGAAAATCCCCACAGATTTACATTGCAGAGGTCAGAATTTCATAGAGAGTTGGTGAGGGCTCTTTTGACTTGGACCAGAAAGAAACCACCCAATCACCTAGAACAACCGCATAGCTACATGTCCCATCCACATATCAGTACCCAAACACTGTAGACATGAGGATAGTCTCCTTTGGCAAGTGTTCTGACTTGTTCTGTAGTTATATTTTTATGAACCATATTTCTTTTATCTCATATTTTATTTATGCCGCAAATCTTTTCCATTCATCTTGGATAATTGTGCAACAGTGAAATTAAATGTCACTCTGGCAAGTTATTCTGGATTGCTTTCACTGATTGTGAGCACTTTTAAGCCAGTGTGTTGTTATTGTTAACTAAATTAGTTTTTGGTAACTGAAATATGATGCTCTTCTAAATTCATTATTTTGTTATTGTAATTGATATATTTACACTTTTGCAAAACATAGCATCCTACAAACTCACACTGAGTGGATTGGTATGATTCCCGCTTTAGGATTGATAAATCCTGGTGTTCAAATCCCGGACGAGCCCCCAAATAATGGTTTGTCCATCAATATCAATATATGAATATATTTTTGCGTCAATACGTTATTTATTTATGTTTCAAATCTCCAAAACAGGCTTTCATTAAATCATGACATACTATGCTTGGGCACAATGACTGCCTTGTATATTACTGTATGGTACCATACATACATAATAATCAAACCAAGTTTAACCAAAACTTCAAACAAAAACACAGATGTCCAAACTTTTTTTCATTCTGTGATAAAATTAGAATTACAACTTAATTACTTGTATGAAATACTTCATACTGTGCCAGAACAACAAACAACAAACATTTCTGCATGTGTGTCTGTCCAACTCCAACATGATCTTATGAAACTCCAGGAAGCAGGTTCTTTCTGATGTGATGCACAGGTGTATGTCACACTTGCTGCACTTGATTCGGACGATCCCTTTACAGCTGGGATACTTGCACCTCCCTTTCTTCCCCATGACAGGCCAGTGGTCCGTTTTATCCAAGCGCACTTAATCAGACACACTGGGGCCCGCTGGCCTCCTTTTCCTCATCTCCGCCAGTGATAGAGTTTTGTGATAGAGGTTTCCTTTAAAAAACGGAGGAAACAGTTTTAAAAAGTATTGCATTACAATACTTTTTATTTATGAAAATTGCTCTAACCAAAGTATTTAAAGGGAGAAGTTTACATTAAAAACATAATTTTTTACCTTAGATGTTCAATTTTGATGTTAAATCCACTATTGTTTTATATAGAATTGTTTTAGCTATAGGTTATACAGCATTTATTGCAATTGCATCAGAAGTAGCTTTAATTAAATTACAGAAAAATTAGGAGTAATCCCTTACTTTACTTTTTTCAAGGGAATGTTACAATGAATTACTTAGCAATGCATTTCACCCCACACTGTTTACATACATTGGGGTTATAATGCTTAGGAACAGAGTTAAAAAGTAAATTGCAACCACTGTTTTCTGACATCATCCGCTTTCGGAAGTGAAAAAAAAAACTGCGTTTCAGGCGGTCGCACACCGGACGAGAAGCGCAGCGTTGCGCCACGTCTTTAACATTCAAATACATTATTTTCTATGAGTGTAGGCACACCAGCGGCGCCGTTCTGCGTCTGTCCGCGGCGCCCAGCTATGTCGTGTTATATTTGAAAGAATTGTTCTAGACCAGCGGTTCTCAATTCCAGTCCTCGCGTACCCCCGCTCTGCATGTTTTGCACGTCTCTCTTTGTTAACACACCTGATTCAGATCATCTCGTTAGAAGTGAGCTCCGTGCATGAACTGTGTTCCGATTGACATGGTCCCTACACAGTGTCCATTGCTCCCTACTCCCTGAGCAGGGGAAATCCGTTGAAGTTTACTTCAATTCGGAATATTCATTTACAGATTTGCGCTACGCCACTGCCTGCAGCAATTTCCACATAGTGAGGTAGATATGTGGGGGGCGTGTTAGAACGAGCCGTTTTAGGGGGGCGTGGCAGAGTCTTAACTTTGATAAAGAATATCTCTTTGGTTTTGAGACTTTAGTCTTTGCAACTTCAGGGATCTTATCTACGCACAATCAGCTTGTAACACTCCAAAGAGAAAGGAAAACTTGAAATCGCATCATATGACCCCTTTAATGTAGCTCATCAGACGTGAGTAATCAATAAATGTAAAAATAAATATAAAACATACAAAATAAATTAATAGTAAATAATACTATATTGAAGTATAATACATTATACATTATTAAACTGTTATTAAATAAATACAGTATTATATTACTAAATTTGTAACATAAAAGATGAAACTGGTCGATTTTTGTTGTGCGACTAATCGAGCCTTGCACATGTTGCGACAGCGCGTGCGCAGACTACATGCGGACAAGTATTTATTTTAGCTTCTTGTGCTACATACAGCCATATGCTGCCCTTGTGGGCCATAAAACTGAAAGAAGAGCTTTTTATATCAGTTCATTCACATTAAAACGCGTAGTTTAGCTCTTGTCTATAATGGCGAAGGACGGTGCAGCGAAACTGTCCAAAAATCTCCTGCGGATGAAGGTAAGAAGCTGTGACTCGCAGACATCAGCATCAGCATCAGCTCGGATCCGCGAGGAATGAATTACGAACAGGGAAATCATTTAGTGGAGGACTTTTGACTAAAACTTAAAAAAAAAAACATCTTGATGTTTGAGTTGCGTGCTGTTGTGAGTGTCATGCTTTTGCTGAATGCAGTGTGTTGGAGATCAGGCGAGCATGTGTCTGATGCCCGCTGTCTGTCTGTCTGTCTGTCTGTCTGTGTGTGTCTGTGTCTGTCTGTGTGTGTGTGTCTGTCTGTGTCTCTGTCTGTCTTTGTCTGTCTGTCTGTCTGTGTGTGTAGTTCATGCAGAGAGGTTTGGACGCAGAGCTGAAGAAGCAGCTGGATGAGGAGGAGAAGAGGATCATCAGTGATGAACACTGGTTCCTGGACCTTCCTGAGCTCAAGGCCAAAGAGTGAGACCTGACTGACATCTCACTGATATCCTGTCCTCAGAAAACTATATTTAGATTCCTAATGTCTTAATAGCATTGTGTGACGTAACAAATATCTATGGAAGCCCATTTCCGCCACAAAAGGGGGAAAAAAAATGGTATTTGGTAAATTATGATTATAAACATTTCTCATTTTTATGAGATAACGGGTCGAAACTATGACAAACAGATGTGATAATGACGTAAGTCGAAATTGGCAGAGAAAATTATGACATGATGATAATAAATTAGGGCTGGGCGATATAGCTAAAAAATGTATCAACGATATAATGTTTCATATCGTTCGGTATCGATAATTATTGACACACTTTTTTTTTTTATAACGTTTTTTTAAAACAAAGAGCAATAGAAAATGTTTTTTACATTTAACCACTGTATTTATTTAATTAATTTAACTCATTGAGACAAACAACACATTTCTTTTTTTTTTTTAACAGTCAAAAACAAAATTAAAATTAAATATCTCAAATATTCTAATGTTTTATATGCAGATTAAATAGGTTAAACTATTGACTTGTCTCCTGAAGCCACAGGAGGGCGCAATGAGCAAAATAATGCAGCGCATTTTAAATGTTCAAAGCAAGGAAATAACTGTCTATAAAAAAAACTTGCATTACGTCTAAATTAACTCATATAAATCAAACATAATTTCGTAAATTGCATAAACAATTATGAACAGAACAAAATCATGTATTTATGCATTGCTTAATACAAAGAGCCGAATCGCCCATCACGCAAATTGCATTTAAAAATATAAGAGACGCAGTGAAAAGGAATAAACCCCCACAAATTCGTGATGTGTTTTCTAAAAGTTTAAACTGTTTTAACTTTGCATGGCTTTCTATACATCTATTGTGTGAGACGTGTGAGTGCAGCAGTCATATTTGTCCATCTAAAAAATGCGCTGAATATGCGTTCCGTGTAGGGATGGGCGATATGGGCTTAAAAATGTATCACAATCATTTCTGATATTTATTGCGATAACGATACCAATGACGATAATTTTGGGAATCCTGTTTCTTTAGAGAAAAGTATTATCTTTTTGTGAGCATTACTGAGTACACACGTAATGACCGTTTAATTCATACTGGAAGCCGGAGGGCGGCCCTTGCGCAGAAACTCCACATATGCATCGCAGAAGTAATGCTCCAGGAAGAAGTATCCAGTGATCGCTGTAGCGGAATAAAACGCAGATAATTAAATTTTAACTGCGGAAACCTGGAGACTATAAACATGCGATTGCACAAAATATATGGTATCGGTGTTCTTCAAGCAATCCTGGGTATTTTTTATAAGGATAAAGTATATTTATAATGCAATGCTAATCGACATAGCCTTTATCACTGATATAATGCTATAAAATAGTATGATTTCTGCCTTATTCTGTGATACGAAACCACGTCTGATCACAATAATGAGATATACACTCGGACAAACACTCGACTATGTTATGAAGTTAATATGGAGAAAAAGTCAGTCAATAAATTAAAATATCTTTGTTGGACAACAGGTTTGTAAACGACTCATACACATGTAAATCTGTGTCGCACACGTGCTACTGTAGTACATTTACTCAAGGCTCAGACCGATTTTTGTCACACTGTACAGCCCTATCCAAACCTGTTCCAGATTGTAGAAGGAGCTGCTCAATTTCACGTCCGCCTTCCTTCACGTCACTCCACACA